GTCAATGGAAAGAAGGGAGCCTCAGTGAGAAAATACCTACATAAGGTTGGTCTGAAGGCAAGCCTGTAGGGCATTTTCTAAATTAGTGCTGGGGGTGGGAGGTCCCAGTTACCAGCACTCTGTAGGTGAAACCACCCCAGGGCTGGTGGTCCTGGATTCTGTAAGAAAGCAGGCTCAGAAAGACAGGAAGAGCAAGTCAGTAAGCACCACCCCTCCATGGCTTCTGCACTAGCTTTTGCCTCCAGGATCCTGCCCTATTGGAGTTCCTGTCCTGATGTCCTTCAATGGTGAACAATGATATAGAAGTATAAGCCAAATAAACCCTTTCCTCTCCAAGTTACTTTCGGTCATGGTGTTTCATCACAGTAATAATAACTCTAGTTAAGACACTCTTGTATGTCATTGATATGAAGGAGGATAGGTGCATTATCTCTGGAGGGCTACTGACAATATCTTCACATTAGAAAGCTGGCATACTTTGTCCCAATTCTCATAAATTAAGCCTACAAATATATGCACAAAAACTCATCAAAGATATCTGGGGCTGTGTTATTGATAGTAGATAAGTAAATCACCTTTCAATACTCATCAATAAGTGCAGTAGTTTGAGACAATGGAAGACACATGATCTGTTTAAAATAATTAGAGCTCTGTCTTTTATATAAATGGACAGACACGGTGGAGTTACTAGAAAACCTGCTTCTGTCCCGATGTTAGTGTGCTGTCCTGATGCCAGAAAGGAACCCATACATGCTGAGAAAAACCCTTAAAAGGACATCCTAGCACTTGTAACAGTGGTTGCACTGTAGGAACAGAATTGAAACTTTGGAAATAAGGCCCAATTTCCATTGAATAATTGCACACTTAAAAGTGATTGTCATTTTCAGATTTCAGTGGGCCAGACACTACACTTCTGGCGTACAGTGTCTCATCTTGGAAGCATCATGCCTGTTGGGTTTAATTAGCTCCATTTTACAGATGGGACATTGTGATTTGGAAAGATTGAGTAACTTGTCCAGGGTCACACAGCTGGTGTCCTTGTTCCATCATCAATAGGAAGATTTACATAAGCAGTTTGTGGGACTTGGTTCTCAATAGACTCACATATGTTCACGATTTGCTACTTCCGAAGGCTGGAATCAAGGTTTTCAAATATTGTTATCTCAAAATAGAATAACGAAGATGCATTGCTTCACTTTCTAGAATGTCCTTCTGCCAAGCCTTGGTGTCAGGGTCTTATCTCATATCCTGAAAGGGAGTGGTCCCTTTTTCTTCCTTCAATAATGTTAGTTTCACAAAATGTTGAGATAGGGAGGGGTGGAGTAAGAGAAATAAAGAAACTGGTAACATCATCAGCAATGTGTCTTAGAGACAGCAAGCTTCTGTTTAGGGAAAGACTTGGTGAGTATAATTTGATTTAAACAATTCTCAATGAGAGGAAAATTCTACATTGCTCTCCCGGGTTCTTCAGTTGGAGTGGGTAGATGTGTAAAAACTGCATTATGATGCCTGGGAAGACAGTGGAAGATCCTGGGTGCAGAATCAGAAAGGCAAACACTGTTAAGTCTACAAAACACTGTGGGATTTCTGTTGGAAATCAACAATTCTGAATTTGTCTCTCTCATTATAGTACTGTCTCAATGTATGAATTTTGGTCGTATCTTCAAATTAGCTTTCTTACTAACTGGTGATTGTGCTGTTAGGCATTTAGAGAGACTGTTGTGATTGATTTAGAGCTTGTCTTGAGGATGATTAAAAAGAAAAAATCATTTAAAAATATGGGTGTAGGTGTTTTGCTTCCGTGTACATCTCTGTACCTCAAGCATGCCTGGTGCCCATAAAAGCCAGAGACGGCATCAAATCCCCTGCAACTGGATACAGAAGGTTGTGAACTACCATGTGAGTGCTGGGAACCAGACCTGGGTCAACTGGGAGAGCAGCCAGTGCCCTTAACCACTGAGCCATCTCTCCAGCCCTCCTAGTCACTTCTGATCAGCAGCTGCTTTTCTCCCTAGGCTGTATTCCAGGGAGGAGGGACTTTGCATGGCGAGGTACTAGCTCCAAGTCTGTTCTCTCTTTAGGTTAAGAGACACAAGATATGTTTTCTGTGTTTATTTTTTTTTCCTCAGACTTTTCTGAGAACTGACATTTGGGAAGGCATATTACATTAGGAAGTTTTGCCAATATAAAATTGAAGGGACACTAGCTGACTTGAGCATGTGGCTCTGGCAGGCCTTGCCCTTCTCAATTCCCTCTGCCTTGCTAAAAAACCATTAGATTACATTCCTGAAGCTAGCTAACGAGGCCTATTCCTTTAGTGGGCCAATCCTCTTCCTGAGGCTGACTATGAAGATCCAGCTATCAAAGTATTGAAGTCCAGCAATCAAAAACTCTCTTTGGCTCACCTAATTAACATGCCCAGTTAAAATTAAACACCTCATCCTAACATAAGGTTTCCCATAGGGTACCTTGTACTTTATAAACTGCCATTTTTTTATGTGCCACGTCTATCTCCTCTCTGTCCAGTGGCAGTCCTTTGTCCCTTTTGAGCAAACACCTCTTCCCCCTTTTCCTTGTTTCCTTCTCCTTCTCTCTCATCCTCTCTCTCCTGTCTTTGTCTCTTATTCCCTGCCCTCTGTCCCTCTGGGGCAATTAAATCTCCTTTGTGCTGAGAATATGGCTTGGAGGTCCTGAGCTGATATTTGTCCTTTCAAAAGTTACCAAGTACTTTGACATGCACTCTTTTATTAATTTTGACTAATGCTTAGAATGATTTAGAAAAAGACATGGCTTATGAAATAGACTAACATCACAATGAGACTTCAAGCTTCCTGGTACTTGCTGTATGTTTGGAGATTAGGGATATTGTAGCCTCCTAGGCTGGCTGCTAGTGGGGAAAAAGTCATAATGAGTACTGGATTTGCTCAAGATAAAGTCTTGGGTTGGTTTGCAAATAAATTCTGGTTAATTTCTTTTAATGTTATCATAGTAAATAATGTATACCTGAGATTCATGTACTGAGTGTAAAAAGTCATTGATCTGGTCAAGTCAATATGTAATTCAAGAGAACATTTTGCTAACTATTTTCATGACAACTCAAGGTAAGGCACACATCAAAAATTGCATATCTATCCACATGCATAAAATAAATGTTTCAGAGCTGACATTCTACTCATATCCCATTTGAGCAGTTTCTGGTACTTTCTATTCTATTCCATTTAAAAATTTAATGTTTCTTATGAATGCAAAACCTGTTTTTTAACTTACTAATGAGATTCCACTCACAGTTAGCAAAATGTTCCCTGAGATGGCCCAAATGATTATATTATTCATATTTACAAGACCCATTTGTTTAGGGAGTCTTGAATGTCCTTATGGCTTAGTTTGATAAATTTACTGGGAGCCAAATTTATATAAATCATGGCACTAGGGGCTACAGAGAGTTTGTTACAGCTTCACCTGCCTTGGTGGGTAATCTTCTGAGGCTGCAGAGAAACCAGTGTGAGCAAAATGACACACAGTCTGTCCTGGAGTGTATGCTGTGGTAGATGAGTCATTCACATGAATAATACTTCCGGAAGGAAATGGCTTTATCTTCACATTCTAGGTAAAGATGTCTTCTCACCTAGGAGATTTTTACTGGGGAGCCGGTGGAGAAACCGAGGCTGTTTTTCCTATCAAATCACATTGCTCTTTGGGGGTCCCAGTCTAGAATGGATCATTTAAAAAAAAAAAAAAAAACTAAGTCCACAGAAGTAGACTTATGATCTCATATGATTAAAGGGATTTTGTATTAGGAAAAAAAAAAAACGGAAGTTCAGAGAAGTGATGATGAAGTCATTATAAAAACGTGTGAGCTTCAGAAAACCCAGAGACTTTCAGGAGCCCCGGATCTCTTTTTCCCTTCATGGGGAGAGAAGCTAATTGTTGATAATAAAGACAGAAAACAGCTCTTCACGGGTTGAGAGAGGCCTAGACGGATGGCTCAGTGTCCGGTGAATGCACATTCTGGAAAGAGAGAGCTGGCTCCTCCACCTGCACACATGTGATATAGCATGTTACCTTCCCATAAATAACTAAGCGCCAGATTTTCCAAGCAATAACAGATACATTCTAGTGTTTCACATTATTTCCTTAGGAAGCTCTTTTAATCTCTCACTTAGAATTTGTGTGTCTAAATCCTTATGTCAACACTAGGAAATACACTTTCTTAAGGTCATCAGGGCAAGAAACCAAAGATTGTCACCTGCCAGAGAGAATCTGAATTTTGTTCTCATTGGGAATTATTTTATGAGCTTAAACCTGAAAGATCATGTATGCTCATAGTGGATAGCTCTTCTCATCATGAGACATTGTGGATGCAAAAGAGCATGTGCAGATCATCCCGTCTTCAAAGCTCACTTCAGTGGACCTATGTCCACATTCTCCTCTGTAAGCTGGAGATGAGTTCATTCTGTGAACTTATGGGCGCAGCATTTTACTACTTGGGGAAACTGAAATCATTTAAGTACAAGAGAGTGAGGGAGGGGCAAAATAGGCAAGCAGGGAAAAAAGTTGAAAGCTTAGAAGCTTTTCATGAAGCCATGTGGCTTAGAGTCACAGACACACCTTCTCCGGTGTCTACAGGCAAATCAGTGTTCCGTGTTCTTAGAGACAACCCCACTGTCTCGGGGCTTCCAAGGACTGAATGCCCTTTTAAGTTTCCATGTATTTTTGTGAGTATTTCATCTCAAAGTACTCTATACAGTATCATTAGACTACAGGCTTCACAAAGGTAGATTTCCTATTTTTGCTCACTTAACACTACCTAAGCTCTATGGCTACATGTGATTAGTGGCTAATAAGTCATTTTTGGTGAATAAATTGGTATTTTAACATAGTTTGCTTTAGTGTCACTTTAGACAAGGTGCTTTGGTTTAGCCCAGTGCTTGTTTCTTTGATTAGCTGTTGAAAAGTAATTTATCATAACTCCTAATAGTCTTCATTCTCTTGCTTTACAGTCAACTTTGATCACTTTGAAATTTTGCGAGCCATTGGGAAGGGCAGTTTTGGGAAGGTAAGAACTGAATTATCCAACTACCTGCAGAGCTGTGGGTCACAGAGTCAGAGAATGGTGCGGTTGTTGAGGTGCTGGCATTATAAAGACAGATAACTTGGAAATGGTTTAGAATACACTTTTACAAAATTATCACCATCATATAATGAAAGTTAGCTATAAGATGAACCCTGTGCTGACTCAGGACTACCTTGTTCAAGTCAGTCAAGTCTCCTACTGTCAGGGGAGTTGGGGAGTTTTCTCTTTATCCCAAAGAAGGCTAAGATTTCAGATTCACCAATTTCTCAGTAAAAGTTATATTATGAATATGAGACATAATTTTTTCATGAGGAAAAGAAGCCACTTAGTTTCTATATTTTCCTCAATTTCCAAAATGCTACATGAAAAATATATATAGTCCAGCTTCCTGTAAGAGTCTTCTGTCTTCAAACTGAGTATTAGTTTCTCCATGGAGACACACTTTAAGTTAAAAACAAGGATTTCATATTAAATTTGCTTGTTGTTTTGGTGAGTGTTGTATAGGCCTCTAAAAGAATTACAAAACATGGACAATTGTGTAGCTGCTTCCTTATGCTTACACTTTTCCACTATGTCACCCATGTTGGGAAAAGAAACACTTTGCCTAGTGGTTTTTTTTTTTTTAATCTTACTTCTCTAGTCACATCCATTGCAGCCACTTCAAGGAGGATTGAGGATGCTATTTGTTATCAGAAGATTCTTAACACGAAAGCAGATTTAAATGTTGTCTCATAGATCCTAGGAGCAAAAGCAGGCAAACTAATATGAGGAAGCAGAGATTCAATTATTGATGTACTAAATACATGGGGGATGAAAATGAAATCTTTACCCTGAGTAAAATAAGAACTTTAATCCCAGAGAATGACAAGGGCTCTATGCCATGCTGAAGAATAAATCTTGCCTTGTGTCTCTCAGCCACAGTCTTCCTTCTCCTTAATCACTTGCTGACCAGGGTTTGCATCATCAGGTCTGCATCGTGCAAAAGAATGATACCAAGAAGATGTATGCCATGAAGTACATGAATAAACAGAAGTGTGTGGAGCGCAATGAAGTGAGGAATGTCTTCAAGGAACTCCAGATCATGAAGGGCCTGGAGCATCCTTTTCTGGTGAATCTGTGGTAAGTGTGTTGACTGCACCTCTGAATGGACACTCCTGAATCCATCTGCAAACACAGTTACATCATCACATCATGACTGCTTGATGTGCATTGGCCAGTCCTCATTATGGTTTTCCTTATTATGTTGTACAAAACTTTGGTGTTAAAATGAGAAAAAAAAAAGTTTTGTTTTGTTTTGTTTTATTGCGGTGCTGGGAGATCAAACTTGGGACCTTGCACACCTGAGTTAAGCACTCTACCAAAATGTTTTTTCTTTTAATGTGTGTATATGATGTATGTGTGTAATATGTGTGGGGGGGTGTTAAGTTCATATGTGCCTCTAACTGTGAGTGCAGATGTGTGTGAAATTGTACTTGTGTGCAGATCAGAAGACAGCCTCGGGTGTTTGCCCTTCTCTTCCACCTTATTTGAAATAATAGTTTCTTGTTATTGCTGCACACACAGGCTGGTGGGGCTTACAAGCTTCTAGAGATTCTTCTGTCTCCACCTCCTATTTGATGTGCTGGGATTACAGATGTGTGCAGCTGCATCCAGCTTTACCTGGGTTATGAGAATCCAAATTCCCATTCTCATGCTTGTATCCAGTGAACCATCTCAACCCAAAGTTGTTGTTTTTTTTGCAACTTGTCACAAATAAATACTCCCCTTTGCCCTTGGGGTTAGTGTTTCTTAAAGAATTTTAATTACATGGACCAATAATGAATGTGCTCAGATGTGTTATCTCTAATTAGATAGATTTTTCTGATAAACTGTGGGGCATGAACCAAGTATGGCCTCCCTTGTTAACATGAGGTTTATCTTGGGATCTTGTAGTAGACACTTTCTCCTTAAGGTATCTGGTAACAGGCTGGTTTCTTTGAGCTATACTTTGGAAACAGCTACGGATGCCTGTAATTCACTAAAGACAAGTGCTGCCTTCCTCAGCCAATAGGTATAGACAGTCTTAAAATGTCATTGGCTACACATTAGCTATCTGGGGTCAGTCCTCAGACCCTTTACCATAAACCAAGGTTTAGAAGACATTGAGACACTTGTCACGTTTATTACCTCTGGTGCTTTTCTTGTGCATTGAGATCTTTCTCTCTCTCATTTCTCTGTACATTTTAACACATCTATTATGTTAAGAGCCGGATCTTAAAGTTAATTCAGTATGACTGTTATTTAAATATGCATGCCAAGCAGTTCTTATTCGCCAGCAGGAGCAAAGAAAATGAAAGTCTTTATCCAGAGAATGCTAATGGAAAAATAATTGAGATTTCACTATGTGTTGGAGAAGATTCTTTTGGAGGCATCAGTGCATAAAGCCTGCTTACATCCATCTTTACCTAACACAGTCCACTTAATCTGCAATGTGTTAGATGCTTCTCAGTTGAAAAGGAGAGGGCTCTGTGTGACTTAGAAATAGATCTATTATAATTTGTGCACTACTCAGACCTAAGAGTCTAATTTTGGTACAGCCTCGGTGTATTTGTTAATCAGTATTTTAGAGTGGCCTATTCAAAATGCTGCCATGTAAGATGCTAAAATGGATGCAGGCTTTCTCTTGCTTAGCAATCATCATATCCTCTCTTCTCTCTCCTCCCTAAAAATGACAAGGTGCTGTCACTTCATAGCCTCCCTTTGTTCAAAGTCATATTTTTCCTCCTTAAAAAGCACAGCCAACTCATTTTCCCTTTTTAGAGTCAAGAACTCTTCATAAGGACACACCTAGAGTTTTCCTCTTTTGTGCTTCATCTCGTCTGGCTATGTGGGTACAGGCAATGAAACCTGGGCGCCGGGATGTAATAAGCCAAAAACGTTTAGAAATTCTCTCATTCCAGACCACATTCTGTTCACTGTATGTGCAGAGCTGGCCATAGTGGGACAGACATGCTCTCACAGTGGTTCTCAACCTTTCTGGTGCTATGACCCTTTAGTACATATCCTTATTTTGTGGTGACCCCCAACCATAACATTATTTCTGTTGCTACTATGTTACTGTATTTTTGTACTGTTATGAAGCATAATGTAAATATCTGATCTGTAACCCCTGTGAAAAGGTCATTCTACCCCAAAAGGGATCATGAACAGCAGTTAGTTGAGAATCACTGTTGGCATATGTACCCTGTTCTTTTATTGTTTTCATTGAATCTCACAGTGAAATATTGGGTGAACTCCACTGATAGAAGAGAAGGAAGAGAAGCCTCACATCCAACATACACAGTGCAGAACACACAATTATTTTTTTATTTGTTGACAGGTGTGTGTGTGTGTGTGTGTGTGTGTGTGTGTGTGTGTGTGTGTGTGAATTTTCATCATTTCATTCTCCGTTCATTTCTCTCATTCTTCCTCCTTCTCTCCCTCTGAAACTTTCTTTTTCCCAGTAAGTGCCCCTCTTTCTTTCACGTCTCTTTTGAATGTTTTGGTCCACTGAACTTAATTAGAATTGCTTGTATGAACATAGGTGGAAGGTTATTTAATGGGGCCTAGGCAACTTATCAGCGCCTACACCATGAAAGAAAGTGACATCACTTCTCCAAGCTGCCATTAGCTGTTTATAATCCCTTTGGGATAAGTGGGGACTCATGATGAAATATTGACAGGCCCTGTCTTGTGCAGGGCTTGTCCAGGTAAACACAGCTGAAATTAATTCATGACTACAGCAGCTACGTCATATCTAGGGAAGATTTTTGGAACCCACGTTCCCCTCCTCTAGTTCTCCCATTCTTTGCACTGCCTTTTCTACACTGGCCTCTGAGCTTGGAGCAGATGATATGGAGATACCTCCTTGAGAGCTGAGCACGCTACAATCCCTTACACTTGGCGTTTTCACCAGTTACAGTCTCTGCATTAACCACTGCATCATGTAATAAGAACCTTCTTTGATAATGTTTGGGAGAAACACTAATCTGTGGCTATGAACTTGAGTATTTAGAAGGCAGTAGAACTACATGTCCCCTTAGCAAAAACAATAGCAATGTGTTCTCTAGGGCCAGTGATTCCTTAAACTCAGCTTCATGGCCAAGAGGGAACTGACCCTGATTGATCAATGTTGTAAAAGCATTCTCATCTAGCAGCAGCTCCAGTGAAGTGAAGGGTTTTATTCTGCCCGTATCTGCCTCAGGGACTTAGATCTAAGCTGTCCTGAATTAATGCCCACAGGCCAAAAAGTTTCCATGGGAACCTTTTCCAGTCGGCGTTTCTCATAATATTGTTGCATTTTGGTTTCAATTCTCCCCCAGGAGTCTGTGTCCAGAGTCCCATAGTCAGAAAACCAAGGACACATTTCCTCTATGAACTCCGAGAACCTCTGTACTTGTTGTGGTTCTACCTTAACTTCCCTAGTTTTCAAACTTTCTACAAGCGAATATCCAAATATCTGCTTATTATTTCCCTGCCCCATAGTAGCTGTTCTTTCTCAGACTGCAGTGACTGCTTGTTCCTGAATGCTGTTTGCAGGTATGGCACAAGGGAAATTCTACTCTTACCCTAAGTTCCTTCCTATTAAGCCTCCATAATATCCATACACCTAACACTATATTTTTACCTAATTTTATAGATCAGAAGTTAGAGAGAAAGAAAGAGAGAAACCTAGACAGAGAGATACTTGCTACAGCCTAACTTTTCTATATACAGTTTTTACTCCTGAAGAATAGTTTACCACCACCTTAATATTAATACAAAACAGGACATGTCACTCCTTCTGCGGGGCTTCCTCCCCCACTTCCTTCCTCTGCACCCAAGTTCCTAGTTCTGCCACCATCTGTGGGAGGCCACCTTTTAAAAGGGTTCCTAGGAGAAGGAGAGAGGTACAAGAAACTTTTAGATAGAAAGATAGTGTAGAGAAGAAAGACAGAAACACAGGATAGCTTTGAGAGGACCTGGATCAAAACCCAATGGTCCCTTCTGCCTTTTTAAAGGGTCTTTATATAATATAACAATGCCAAGGGGCAGGGCAAGAGACCTCCCTCTTGCTAGATCAAAGCATACCACACAGCCAAGTGTAGACCCTTCCAAACACTTAGTGACCATGCCTGTGTTCAAATCATTCCCTTATGCAGCCCTGCTGGGTAAAGCAAGCTCAGATTCTTGGACCCTCGGTTAGTTCTCATTATGAAACCTCTGTGGGTCTCTATACCTGATCTGCAGCATATAAGGGGGAATCCCATACCTGGAACTCAGAGTTTTGTTTAATAACCTATGGCTCTAGGAAGAGCATCGTCACACTGTGTAGGGTTCCTTTATTTAAACTTGTTTATTGAAACTGTATCTTTAATGTTTATAAAATAGGTCTTCATACGGCTCTTGCACACACCCCTAGTCTTGGTTACTCCTCTACAAATCTCCTCGGCCATCTTACCTAATTTCTTGTCCACTGAATCCTCTCCATTCCTAATACTGCCCTTTCTACCTTCGCATCACCCTGTTCCTGTTCCCTTGAGTTTTCTCCCACTCCCCACAGTCCCTTAGCAGAAGCCAGTTTAACTTTTTAATCCTTAAGATAAAAATCTTCACAGAGGGCATGTATTCCTTCTTCTTGCAATGCTTTCTGTCCTAAGTTACAGTGTTTTTAAGTGAGACTTTTCGGAAGAAATCAGCATGTTACAAAGCTTCTGAGTCTTAATAATGAATGATCTGTCATTTTTAAGTCACATTGTCAGAAGACATGGTTGCAATGGATGAAAAGGGTTACCTAGCATCTAGGCTCTTGTAAATATTTGTTAGCATTTTTTTTTTCTTCCTTGCTCCATGCAGGTATAATATTCTAAAAATACTAGTCACTAACTGGCCAGTGTGGATGCCCAAAAGTCAACTAACTTGAAGGATGCTTGATTCCAAAGCATCATGGGAAGTGTTTGCAATTCATCCTTTATTAGAGTTGATTTTGATTTTCCATCCTCATTCAGCAAATAAAACACAAGTTAATTAAATATTCCCCAGAATATCATATATAACTCAGTTTTATGTTCTGGCTCAACTATTAGATTTACTTGGATATCTCTAAAGCTTTGGAGGCTAAT